GATAAGTTTAACACATTATTTTTTGTAATCAACTCCTGATTATGAGTGATTAGACCTGAGTGATTATAGGTGATTTGGTAAGATAGGAACACCCTTAATATTTTACATTGTATTCTAGTTGCTTCTGCTTAGTCTTTCCAATTAGTTCCAAATAATTATTGAACAGAACTATGAATAATGGTTGCTGTATTTAATAGTTTGAAATCCAACGTGATTAATTCAGCCAACAAGGTTTTAAAGGAACAAGTCGTGGTGTCTGACAGAAGTTTATTTACAGCTATCTCTGAATCATTTTCAGCAATCAAAAACTGAAGCAAGATGATGAAAGTGTTCATGTTGGATTCAATAACAACAGCATTGTGTTAACATTTGAGCCCTTTCGCCTTGACTTTCTGGTTGACAATGAAGTTGCTGTGTCTGTGAATTCAAGAGGGCTGATGAATTTTGAACAATATAGGGAAAAACGGTGAGCTACAGCGGTACATAAAAACAGTCACGTTGATGTTATTAATAACAATACTGTGCATACAGGTAAAATCTATAATATTGACTGGCAGTGAACATAGCTTTGCGCCGCTGCTTCATCAACATTTTTCGTACAGTAGTACTTGGTGCTGTCTCAAGATATTTATGGGACTTGCTGATTTTTTTGGCCCAGAAATCCTGATGCCTTAGTGTTATCAGCGCTCGACTTTCAGGAAAAAACCTTGGGGCTAGCTGGCCCCTATAATTTTCAGATTAAGTCGCCAGAAAGAGTATTTCTCAATCAGTGAAAAGTGTGAAACGTTAGTTGGCAGTGAAAAAAATTTGGTCACATTGGCAACCCCAGCAGTCGTAATGTTGAGCTCTGGTTATAAATCTTATTGAAACCCCTGAAAAAGAATCAAGCACATAAACAGGCATTTTATGGTTTGTAAGTTTTCAAAGATTTTTCAAAGTTTAAAGCCCTACCAAACCACATCCATGACTGTATGTTATTTGATAATATATAATATATGCTGGTCATTTTTTAAATCAAATTAGGAAGATACCCATTAAGAATGAAGAAGATGATGATGAAGGTCATCCTCCTGGGGAAAATGAAGAAGCAAACTCAGATGAACAGTCTGAATCGGTATGAGAATCATGAACATTTTCTCAATTAAAAGTCATGGAGTGGATAGAGGTCTTGCGTGAATCCTGATGATCTTTTAAATTGGAGATGAAATACCCTGCTTTACGAACTCCTGCTCAATATGGATACTTTGATGTTAATTGGATACCTACTGTACACTGCAGACCTACTTTATAGTTTCAGTTCTTGTCTTATACAGTTTTATGTAGTAAAGGGTTCCACTGTGTAAAATTAATAAGACAACTTGGGCAAGTGTAACATTTGTTTCCAGTTATGTTTTGTGCTCTTTACCATGGAAGTAGATTACTGTACAATGTATATTGGCCACATAGTTAGTGGCCTGCTGTGGTTTGAAAAGCAATGTATTGGAGCATACATAATGCTGGGGTGTCTTGCTTGTAGCTGAGGTACATTCACTAATCATCACTGTAAAAGTAAATGTGGGGAAATTATTTTGTTAGGAGGATAACAGTGAAAAGAAAGAGGAAGAAAGAATAGAAGAAGAGCAATGGGAGGAGAACTTTAAAGAACACCATGATTCCAGACCACGAGGTGAGTTATAAAATTTTATGTGTACCAGTTATATATCAAGAAGAATCAGCTTTAATGTAAAGTCACTGGGTGTATTTTGGTAGTCCCTAAAAGTTAATTCCTTCAATTAGACCTTGAACAGGCATGAAGTTTGAGTGAAGCCAATGTGCAACCCATGCCTCTTAAAAACCAGGAAGGCGAAGCATGCGAAGAACAGGATTTCTGTACCCAGGATGAGTTACATGTACATATAAACGTACATGTCTCCAGCTTGCGGGTTGTGTATCGATCTTCTTAGCTTGTAGTTTGTGATGTTCCTTCAGTAAACAACCTTGACTTTTTGCTATTATTTGTAAGTTTTTGGTTTTGATATTTCAAGGTCCTTGCTCTGTTGGTTTGGATATTTCCTTCCCTGGTGTTGAACATGTGTATGGAATCCCTGAACATGCAGATAGTTTAGCTCTCAAGAATACAGTGTAAGTTTTTCGACACAAATGTGCCATTTTGAAATAACAAATTTATACTTATTATACAAGCTTTGTGTATAGTTAACCTTGGCGTTGATTCAGTGTTCGAAAAGTGAGTTTTAGTTTATATGCGCATATAAATTAAAGGGACATACTCTCTACTATATCTGCATTTGATATTTGAATGATGGGAGTCAGAGGTGTTGAAAGAGATTCGGTTGCTGCC